TTAATATAGTCTCTTGGAAACTGAGAGCACAGCATAACTTTTTATGACACACACACATCACACAAACATAATCAATAAAGTTTATTCACGTTATGGGGCCATAGGACCACTGTTTGCTGATGGGGGTGGAGTACACCAATTACACCGCGTTCTTGCATGTGCGGCTGGTCGTTCTTGTGTAGTTAGAAATTACGCGAACTCACCCCCAAGCCTCGCGTGCTGCGCGAGCAAGGGTGGTTCACAGCTGTACAACAAGTAATTTTGAACACGCCCAACGTCAAATCCGAAAACACAATTCAATTCTCGATGGTACCCGACATATTTTTTTGCAACAATAACGTTTTGTACTATTACTTGCTGATGAAATATGACACAAAGATTCACATTATATCTGATTTATCATATATCAGTTTATCGGGTTTAATGATTTTGTTGACGAGACTTTAAAATTCCGTAAAACATATATGTAAAAGAAAATACACCAAACAGAACCAAACCACGTTCAGAATTTATTTTACAACTTTCGCACAAAGCTACACAAGGGCTATATGATAGACAAGGAGGAGAGCACCTTGTCAACAGCACCCACCGCCAACTCTTGGGCTACACTTTTCTGACTAGATTTTAGAATTTCGACGTGCACCCACGTCCCCAAATGCGGAGCTACAGGACGCAAATTTTTAACCCTCTGATTTACAGTACAGGCTCCATACCCCTTAGACAATGTCCGACCATCGTTGAAACAACATAGATTGTATTTAAAAAATTTCCTAATAGATCCAGTTATATTATTCCATAAATCTATGCCATGTAAAAGAATTTTCAACAGAATTACGTTTTTTTTTGGATATTTTGCAGCAAACTAATTCCAATAACATTCTGAAATTTGAATCGTTTGTCTATTAGAAAATATCACAACAACAAGGTAATGGCCGTTAGAGGGCTATAACTATAATTATGTAAAAACATACAATATAACAACAACAACAACAAAGAAAAAGTTACGTTCATCACCTGTTTAAAGATGAATTATATTTAAAAATCCATTTAAGGACACGTAATTAAGTATCACGAGTACATGTACTCGCGGCCTCGCTGTGGCAATCGGATATCGATCATTGTAACTACTAGTACTACTATACCAAAGGTGAGCGTATAGGCTTAGTAACCACGAAAAAGGATCTTAAAGACAAACATTTAATAAAGTAAAAACTTTCGGACAGTAGAGATGCGTTTGGTGTAATATGTTTCACATTTTTTGAGTTTACTGTACTTTATTTACAGTTGTTGTATTTCAAACTGTTCCACAAAAGAACGAATTCATTGCATGCCCCTCTCCAATCCAAGTTGCTTGGCATTAATTTCGGAGTTTATTAAAAACCTCGGGGTATAGCCCGTGGGTGTGCTCAGACACTCTCCTTTTAACCCTCGATTTTAAATATACTATTCTATAGCGCCATCTGACGGTCAGAAATATTGCACACAGTTAATTCAATAAGCGAATAAACAACTTAAAATATGATTGATAATAATTACAATTCGCTGACTTGATTTATTTAACATAATAAGAGTTGGTGTTCATAACATTTATAATTCAAATAATACCAAGACCACACTTGTACCCCAGTCGGACTGTTGAGCTCTGTATTAGGAGAAAGGTCTCGCCAGCACTGGATATGAGAAATGTAATGTGATTGACAGACTATTTTTTGCTTTCGGTTATAAGTTCTAAGAATTAAGCTTAAATAAAGATAGGATCTTGTGTAATTTTTAACACATCAAAGCTGAAATCACAGTTGTAATTAAACTACTTATATGCACAATTTCGAAAACTAGTAACAACAAGACAACTTAACCAGGTGTCTATGTATATATATATATATATACAATAAAACTAAACTTTTGGAATCACATTTAATTTTATTATGTAGACACTCCTGCCTTATTCATGAAACAAAAAAATCTACATTAAGAACTTTAATTACATAAATACTAAGGGGGCGCTGGAAACAGCTGTGTTTGTCATAATTATTTTGCTGATCTTATGGTAACACTTTCGAGCGTACAGGCTGTTCCTCCACAATGAACCGTCTTGCTACTCTGTAAATAACGTGTTATTTCATTTTGATATCTGTACATAATTATCGCAACAAGTGAAAAGTATGTGTCATAAATCAGATAGTCCAGGAATATGTGAAAAAGATATTTCATGAAATTTATTAAAGCCTAAGAGTTCATACTCTTCAAAAGTAACAAATATTATGTACAGGTCCAGCAAAAGTAAGAGGGATGGGTTTGTTGAAAGATAAAAAACTTAAATTTATATACAGCTCATACTCCAAATGAAGCTATAAAGCGAAACATTATAGTTTAGCAGAAAACGTTTTAGAAAAACCATAAATTATATCACCAAGATTTGATCAACGATTATGCGAAGGTTAGGGTGGTTTAAGTGTGGAACATATTGAATACAAGGTTAGGAATTAAGAAAACACAGAGCTTTTCCTACGGATTTTTTTAACTGCACAATTATGCCTTAACTTTATCATTTTTTACGACATGACGCCTTATTGCACCTCATATATACAGGCCTAGTAATAAATAATCAAAAAATGAAGAATATTTGAGTAAGTACATTTATTTATCGACTCTGGAATGGAATTTTATAATCTTAAATATGTTTATTTTTAATATTTATTCACTTGAACTTACTTATATAGGTGAATTTTCAACTGCCCAAATATTTTTACAGGTGCACGATTTGTGATCAACTGTACGCTAGGAAAACCCCTGAAAAAATATCATAAAGAAATACACTGAGCAAAACATTCGTATTTAAAAAGTAAACATATTTACCTTAAACCAAACAAACCTCGACGTCCTGGAAATTAACAGACTTGAAACAATGGAACGCTTTTATCAGTTAATATTTATCATAGACACATTATGAAAAATGATATTTCTTTGAGACGAAGATAATCTCTAACGATTACGAAATATAGCACGACCGACACAGTGTAAACAAAAGTCGTTCCCTCGGATACACACTCTATAGATATATTCAACGAGCATGTGCACCTGTCTTTTAAGCTAACATACCTGTCAGGTCCAAGTTTATATTTGTACATATTGACCAATCGTATTGCAGAAATTTTGTAGGAAATTTCAGGCCGGGGCTAGCAAATGTTTCGCGTATTATTGGCCAATCGAATTGCAAGTTTAGCGAAATACGGTGCAGTAGGTGTCAGCTGGCAAGTTTAGTGGAGTGTTTATAATATCGTACGATTTAGTGTTAGTAAAGTCTTTAATGTTGGTGAATTACACGTTTACAAATTACACTTTACAGTGGAGAACAGTAAATGAAACTTATTTTGCCTTAGCTGTTTGATATAATGAAATTTGCTGAACATTTATCTGCACATATAACGCCTGAATGGCGGAAACAATATATCACTTACGAGGTAAGAGGTTAAATTTGTTTATTGAATTATTTCTACACTTACAAATTACAGTTCTTCAGCTTAGCCACCAATGACGTACTGTGTGACTGTGAGTGTTTAGTGACTTGTGCGCTAAGTTACTAAAGACTAAAGTAAAGTAGTAGTACTACTAATAGTAATAGCAATACATTCTACTTCTAGTAACAACAAACATTACTGGAGTAGCTTATAAGTTATATCCTGCTGCTTGCTACTGTAACTTGTTAGTGTAACCGTAGTACTGAATTTTCAAGCTAAACTTTTTAAAGTTTTTTGAATTCCAGTTCCAGTCACTGTGTAACACTACAACTAGTAATAGTACTAGTAGTATTACTAGTCTGGGCCTTGTTACAATTGTTATTCAACTTATACGTTAAATTATAGGCATGTACTATAGTGTAATGCAATAAAATTAACAGGACATGATTCTGCCCGTGATATATGCTATACCTAAAAGCTCTACTTCTCTCAAGTGTTGTCAAGTTGCTAAATCTGGGTTTTATTTTTAAATAACTGATTAATGCAAGAGTTCCTCAGTGCTGCTTACATTTTGCAAAGTATATCAGCTTCTTTAAGTTTAACTGAGTTTAAGTTCTTCGTGTTGACCCTTTCACTAAATGTAAAGCCAAAGGTGAATTTGAAAGTTGAAGCACAAAAATGGTAGGACTTTAACTGTAGGTTATAAAATTTCAAAATTCCAGTAGTCTCCCACACTCATGTTTATGGAAAGAGAAAAAATAAAATCTCAATATAAGTTATAACAGTACATGGCAGAAAACTTATGTGTAAACTCTTGCGAATGAATGCTTTACTGTAGAAAATCAAGTTTTAGATTTCATTATAAATATTTCTTCAAAATACAGAAAAATACCAAGTCTCATTTGGTTCATCAGATTAATTTATCAGCATTACTAGCCTAATAGAAGCACTATGTCAAGAGTTAAAAATCTCTCAAATGAACCTTTGTTTTCTTATTTTGTTTATCACACTCGGTGTTTTCATAGTGGTCCTAAGTAAATGCAAATAGAACTTTTGAATATGATGCCTCTATTTAGTAAATCATTAATCATGAAAAGGTAGTCTTTATACTTGCAATAGAATTAATAAACAATTTGCTATAAAAATTCTTAAACAAATTAGCATTGTTTTTCTTATTTATCACTAATAATTGCATTTAACTATCCAAAAATGTTAAATTTAGTTTTGATACATTCACATGCTGTTTTATTGTAATTTACCAACATTTATATTGTAACGTGGTGATCATAATTTTTATTTTTCTGTGGTTTATTTTCTTATTTTATGTGAACAACTGATTCTATATTCTCATCTTTATTGGGATGTTTTTGTCACCTTAATTTGTTGCTTTAGTTTGTACCTGACTTTAATATAAGTTTATATTGTATTTTTAATCACATGTAGGTATGTGACTGTCTGCAGATTGATTTTTGTATGTACTTGTTGTTTTGATAACATTTTACATTTCCTATGAGGTTTAATTTATAATTTGATGTTGATTTGTCATGATTTGTAGCTGTAACCTCTGCATGATGTTTTTATTGTAGGGTTTTACTTGTGTTGTTCTGACTGGCCTATTTATTGTATTTCTTATTTTTACAAAGTTAGTAATTGTTGTGGTAGAGCAAATGCATTTTAAGTTTCAATATTTTAGTTGATTTATTTGCATCTTTTAATATATCATAACCTCAATCTTCAATAAAGCTTTTCGTGATACAATGTGAATGATATTATATCATTATGAATTAATTTATTCATTATCAGAAATAAATTTTACTTTTTATTCTTAACCATGTACTATTTTCTGTGTTGCTTTTAAGTTGTTAACAGTTAAGGTGATTTTCTTCCATTGTTGTTTTTTTTATTCTTACTCTAAATAATATATAATCTCCTCATTTTATAGTACTTTGGAGGTTCCTTACTAAGTATAGTGAAATATACTTTCTTTTGATAGTTTTCTTTGTAAATGTTTATGGTTGTGTTGATATGGAAGCTTTTATTTTAAAAGCCAAAAGTTTCTCCTTATCACAATATGATTTATTACTGTTTTTGTATTATGAGTTAAAAAAAAAACTTAATGAAAAATCAGTAAATATTGTGTAATGATACTTATGAAAAAAACCCCCTGATCTTTTCTTTTTCATGTTATTATTTACGTAAAATATTAATTGTTCTTTACAGGAGATGAAAGTGATGTTGTATGCAGCAATGGAGACAGCACCATCAGCAGAGAGTTAGTTGTACTTGTCATGTTAAAACTTCATTTTTATACATATCAACCTGTTTTATAATATTGTAGCTAATTATGGGTTTAACAAATAGAAGTTCAGTGTGCTATGTTTTCTATTAAGAAGAATTGTTACATTAATTATATTTAGTGTATCGTTTCGATCATCAGATTCTGGATTATCTTAATAGCACAGGAAAGTTGTAATTTTAGTAACTCAGGTTACTGTTTTTTAAGTATTAAAAGCAGTACGGTACATATATAATGCCTTGTTTTGACAATAATCAAAACATGTAGCTTATGTGTATGTTTATGTTGATAAGGAATAATCTTCTAAACTCGACATTGAAGAGTGATAAAAAAAAAGTACCGTATGATAAACAACAGGAACATTATAATGAACAAGAAATGTATACCACAGACATAGAATAACTATAAACATTTTCTGAATTATTTGTTGTAAAGTTGTTCTAACTATAAACATTTTCTGAATTATTTGTTGTAAAGTTGTTCTAACTGTAAACATTTTCTGAATTATTTGTTGTATAGTTGTTCTAACTGTAAACTTTTTCTGAATTATTTGTTGTATAGTTGTTCTAACTGTAAACATTTTCTGAATTATTTGTTGTAAAGTTGTTCTAACTGTAAACATTTTCTGAATTATTTGTTGTAAAGTTGTTCTAACTGTAAACATTTTCTGAATTATTTGTTGTAAAGTTGTTCTAACTGTAAACATTTTCTGAATTATTTGTTGTAAAGTTGTTCTAACTGTAAACATTTTCTGAATTATTTGTTGTAAAGTTGTTCTAACTGTAAACATTTTCTGAATTATTTGTTGTAAAGTTTTTCATCTTGTATCAAGAAAAGAAAGATCTAGAAACTTGAGAACACAAACATTTAAATGGAAAATATATGGACTTAAATAATTCCGTATATTTGCAAAATGGCTAAAAATATTTTTAAATATTATAAGTTTGTAAATAATTTTTTCTGTTGGTTGATTATTAGATTCCTGACATTTTTAATGTTTTCAATTTCTTTATTGCAGTTGTTGAACAAAGAGAAATTACCCGATATTTAGCAATGTTTGATGAAGAATTTTTTCATTATTGTGACAAGGAATTAGCAAAAATAAACACGTTTTTCTCAGGTAAGTAACAAAAAGTACCTTAAATCTCGTTAGAAAATCTGGTTTCTTATATTACATTAGAGTGTTATTGTTAACAAAGTTTAGAGGTTGATTGTAGTTGATGTGGCTTTAAAAATTGGTTTAAGTTTGTTTTTGTTTTTCAGAAAAGTTGGCGGAAGGAACTCGTAAGTTTGGCAACTTAAAGACAGAGTTAAATAATGCTTTAAGAGTTGCTGGTATAAAAAATAAAACTGAAGGAAAAAGGTAAGCTTGCTTTGTGGCAGTTCTTAGTAAGTAACATATGTAGCAGGAATGAAATGTAAAAGTAGATATAACTGTGATAAGAACACATGAGATGGAAGTGCTGGCTCGCCAGTTTATATCTCTGTGGTAATCCAAGATGTTATAATGACACTCGATGTAATGATGGTTTCTACCAATACCAAAATAGACTGTTCTCTTTAAGCTCTCTACACTTTGTGGTACTAATATGTTGAGAACTAGATAATGAAATTTGATATTTCGATCTCTTGAATTATCAATTATTGTAGTTACAATGAATTTTTTGTATTTTTGAAGGACTTTTATTTCTAAGACAGAAGAAGGCAATTTTCATCGTACTATTTCCTGATTTGTAGTAATCACACAAACAAGTTACTATAGCAAAAAGAAAGACAAATCCTAAACCTTTTCACACTCTTGAAGTCTCCAGCTTTAGGACTTTCTTGCATCATTGTATACCCTAATAAATCTTCGGTTACTTTGACAACAAACAAACTGGTCGGTAACTCTGAACATCATATCTTGTGCAACTGGCATGTTACTATTATTGGTGATTAATAATAGGAAAGACATGAAATATTTAACTTATTTCCAATAAATGTATATGCACGGAAAATAATGGCCAACGTGATAATTATATCTCATTAGAATATTTCTTTTTACATATATTTTAAATGCTATTTTATTATTCATTTTAAAAATATCTGTTCCATAAGTTCTTTTCAGTATGGCATTACTGGGTTCATTTGTTTTGCCAAGGTGTTATAACCTAGGGGTGCATTTGTTACCTATTATAATAATGCTCAGTTTTTATCTGAAGATGGGTGCACACCTTGCTATCTAAAAGTGCATACGTGCACACTTAATTTCATTGATGGGTGTAAACAAAAGGTGGATGTAAATATACTTTTGTAGACATTTTATATAACAACGTATTAAAAGCTTATCAAAGTTTGTCAGAAGGTCTGACATTAGGCCATAGAATATCATTATAAGTTTATTATACTATTAAGTATGGTAAAGTTTAGCCCTAACTAAACTAAAGCAAAAAACATGAACAAGTTACAGTGTTAATTTATCTCATTATTGAATATAGGCCTTAATTAATGTCAGGCCTAAGACCTGCAGCAAATTGTACCACAACTGTAATAAGCAAAGTGTAACAGGTGAGAATACACAAACACAAAGGTCAATGGTAACAGGTGAGAATACACAAACACAATTACCATTGACCTTGTGTATTCTCACCTGACCTGTTACCATTGACCTTTGTGTTTGAGAATACACAAACACAAAGGTCAGTGGTAACAGGTGAGAATACACAAACACAAAGGTCAGTGGTAACAAACGAGAATACACAAACATGGAGGTCAATGGTAACAAACGAGAATACACAAACACGGAGGCCAATGGTAACAGGTGAGAATACATGAACATGAAGGTCGGAGAATGGTAGAAATGTTATGTAGAGAGGAGTAGTGTGTCTAGGACATGGCAGCCTTACGACAAAGCCTCTTTTAATGTAAGCTACACGGTAGTGCTATTCTCCAGATGCAAGATCATGAGGTAGACCATGATTGAATGTGGCAATCTTCAAAATAATTTTAATGTAACATTTTCAACCTCTGTATCAAAGTTCTCTAAAAGACTACTGACATTTATGTGTACAGTATTTCATGGTAACAGTTTCAATAAGAACTTTATATTGTAGGAATATCTTTTATTAATTAACAGCAACATTGATCTATTAATAACGACATCAGTCTATTAATAACAACATCAATCTATTAATAACAACATTGATCTATTAATAACATTGATCTATTAATAGCAACATCAATCTATTAATAACAACATTGATCTATTAATAACATTGATCTATTAATATCAACATTGATCTATTAATAACAACATCGATCTATTAA